GGGGAGGAGGGGTACAGAGGAAAGGGAGGGGAGGAGGAGGAGGAGGCGGAGCGTACCCAGGAAGTCGATTTGATCAAATCTCGGGAGAGAATCGGCCCCCACACTGCGAGGAGTGAGCTGTGGCGGAAGCCCCATAAGATAAACTCTGAGAAGAAGAAGGAGAGCATGACGAAGCACCAGAAGAGGGGCGCCGCGAGGAGGACCCGGGACAAGCCTATGATGGCAAAGCCGGCTCGCCGATGTCGTCGTTGATGCCCTCGACTGTGGCCTCCTCGAAGAAGACTGAGGACACAAGAATGATGAACACCACAGGCTCGTTAATCAACATCGGGAAGGGGCGGTTGGCCGATAGCCTCGTGCAGCCACCCAGGCGCCGTCCACCCAGACGAGAGAGTCAAGAGGTCGTCTATCATGTCATCACTAAGAACTTCGTCAAACTTGCCATAGTCAATGGGAGCGCTCGGTGGTTCCACCCTCCTCGGACCAAGCGAGGAAGAAGGAGGATCGCATCCATGCCTCGCCTCCGACACATCTCGGCCAACAGGATGTATAAATATGCAATCCGAGCGATGACACGTCATTCCGTATCTGCATAATGTAGACCGCGCCACCGCTGAAGGTGCGGCGCTTCTTTTAGACGAGGCCGAGGCAGCAAAGCTAGAGGACGCCATCGGAGGTGCAGGCACCAATTCGGGCATCTTGTCAAGCCGCTCGCGCAGCACTTGAACCTGTGTCTGGACATCAGAAAGATCGCGGCAGATTGACTCCAAACTCTCGACGCGGGCCGATATCCCTTGGATTTCAGCACGCAAAAGGTTAGAATGCTCAGTAACAGTGGCCAGCTGCGGATGGGAGGGCGCGGTGTTCTTTGCAATCTGTTTCCCATGCACAGCGAGCATATCCAAAATTTGGGAGAACTGTTTGTCAAGACCAGGCATAATCATCTGCACGATACTGGGGACATGTGTTTCAGCAATCGTGGGCCCAATAGTGCTGACAATACCATTGAACGTGTCGTTGATTACACTGGTGAGCCCAAGCGCAGACACAGCTTCATCAACAGCGGAAGGAATCTTGGCGTCAATGCTACTATCACCAGCAGAGGTAAGCTCCTGGCCAATATCGTTGGTTAAGCACCCAGCAGATGCATTGGCATGGCGCTCGAGGACTCCAGACAATTTAGCAATCGACTCGGTCTGTGCGGAGATAAGCCCTTGGTAAGAAGCTAGTTGACCATCGTACACTTGTTGCGTCACCGATAACAGCTCCGGAACAGAAACCAGAGGTGCGGCCGCCGGCTGGAACTCTTGAGCGTGACGGTTGAACTGGTGAGCTTCCCGATTATGAGCACGGCAGTAACGAGGAGCTCGTGTGCGTGGCACAATAGAACGAAGAGGATACGCAGCTTGCAGTTCCGTTTCCAAAGCAGCCATGAACTCATCTTCCCACTGCGTGGTGTGGTGCCTGGCAAACTGGTAAGCGATGCCGATGTGTTTCAAGCGTCTTCGCGTGGAATTAGAAAGAGCAGAGCGATGGGCGTGAGCAGCCATCTGCAACCCAATAAAATGGCGATCTGCATCATCCGCCAGAAGACGCATCGCACGGCCAGACAAATAAGAAAGATGTCCACTCACAACGTCCATAACGAGGAGCACGTATGATTTCAATCGAACACAAAAATGAAGAACAAATAATCAAAACATGCCTGGGCTCGCTTGAGCCGCGGGCCAAATTTGCCGTCTTGAGCCTTAATGGCTACGGAGAAGGTGGAGGAGGAGGAGGAGGAGGAGGAGGGGAAGGGAGAGGGGGGGGAGGGAGAGAGGTGAGGCCACGCGAAGCGCATGACGGCCGTACTGCACGCGAGGGGCCCTTCCAACTGCGAGGAGGAGTCGCGAGGCCCCGACGGGCCCCTGAGACGGCCACGGCCCAGAGGTGCGCGGAGAGGTCACCGGAGCAGCGCTGCGGCGAAGAGGCCTCTTGGAATAGGAGGCCGCGAGAGCAAACCTTGTTCCGGTCTCTCTGGGCCCTCTCGGAGGGAGCGCCGGTGGTGGAGACGGGAAAAGAAAATGAATGGATGCACGAATGGATGAACGATTGAATGAATGCACAAAAACTCGGGGGTGCCTGCTACGCCTCGACACAAACCTGCATCACGCAGACACCTGAGAGGAAGCCTGATTGAGCCGATTCGTCTGCACCGATTCATCTGACTCTGCAGGCCCAGGATGAAAGAGGAAGACAGGGAGAGAGAGAGAGGAGAGGGCAGAGGGTTACGGGAAGACTGGCAGAAGGAGTGGTAGAGATACTGCCACAACTACGACCGACAAGACGCGTGAATCCCACCCACTCATCCAGTAATAAATTACCCCAGTGCGACCCTACCTAGAAGTTGGAGCCCACAGGAAAGCAGCATTAGTTGCTATGCTATGCTATGCTATGCTATGCTATGCTGCGCTATGCTATGCTATGCTATGATATGCTGGCTATGCTATGAGATGCTGCGCTATGCTATGATATGCTATGTTATGCGATGCTATGCTAGGCTATGATATGTCATGCTATGCTGCGCTGTGCTATGATAAGCTACGCTGTGCTGCGCTATGCTATGCTATGCTATGCTATGCTATGCTATGCTATGCTGCGCTATGCTATGCTATGATGGGCTATGCTATGATATGGTATGCTGCGCTATGCTATGCTACGCTATGCTATGCTATGCTGTGCTCTGCTATGCTAAAGCTCAGCGAAGCTAAGATGAAGGTCAGCTAAGCTAAGATAAGCCTGAGCTAAGCTACGATGAAATAAGCTAAGCTAAGATGAGATAAGCAACGCTAAGCTAAGTGGACGTAACTGGGGGAACCGCGGGGCGGATACTGGGGGAACCGCCCGGGGCGGGCCCCACTGCCCGGCCCCTTTAAGAAAGAGAGTAAGAACCCTTCTAGGCAGAGCCTAGGTAGGGAATAATTGCGCTGTTTTGCGACCTTCCCGTCGTAAAGCCCCTCCCTCATGCCAGATGCCATGGCTGACGTGGGCACGGGCGTGTGCATGTGACAAGTGATATAGCGGCTTTATGCGCACTGCCGCGCAGGCAGGTAAAGATAAACTTCGACAATCCACTCGCCCTTGACACTTTCATCCGAGAGTTGGACAAGAGCCGCTTGTGAGCATGCAGGCCATCATGCAGGCATGCAGAAGACGACAGCTGGATTAGATGGTGCCGAATCGGTTAGATGGTGTTGAAGAAATTCCCCAATCAGCGCTTGCACTAGGGAGTCTTACTTGCCTGCTTGGGTGGCCTTGAACAAAACTCTCCAAGCTGTGCCTGCACTCGGGATTTCTGCCTGACGTTCCTGCAGAATTGGCCGGGCGAGTCGAGGTTCTGCCTGCTTCCCATTCGGTGGCCGGTCTTGGGCGCAGGGTGGGCGCCCCGTGCGCTGGGTGGGTGTCGAGGTCTCGCCCGGTGCCCGCCCGCGGCTGCCTCGTCACGTGGGCGCGCCGTGCGCCCGGGTGGGCGCGCCGAGGTCTCGCCCGGTGCCCGCCCGTGGCCGCCTCCTGGACGCCTCGTTGACGCCAGGTGGGCGTGCAGGGGTTGCGCCTGGTGGGCGCTGGAGGCCGTGCGTGCGCGCCTCGTGGGCGCTCCAGGGGGGGGGGGCGGCGGCACAGCTGGCAGCGCAGAGCTCGCACTGCGCAGCTCGCACCACGTCGCATGCGCCGCATGACTTCTGCATCTCACGGGTTGCTCGACACAGCTTGCACCACGAGGCCAACACCCCATCACTTACACCGCAGATTTTGCATTGGACAGATAAAACCACACAGCTTGCACCGCATAGCGAACAACACCACATCGAATACGCCACACATATTGCACTACATAGTTTTCATCACACAACTTCCACACAGCTTTCACCACGTAGCTTGCACAACATAGTTTACATCGCATAGATGGCACCACATACAGTACACATCTACTATGATATAAATTGATTTGGAGGTCCAAGTGTGCAACCATCGTTCCAAATGGCGCTGGCTAGATGAAGTATGGTGCTAGTTCTTCTTCAAAACGTGCAAACTGACTTTGAGAAATGAGCGAGCGGGTGGACCGCACGGTGGTATCTCATACAATTCCGAAGGGCAGGTCAAAACGTGTCCACCGCTCGTCTGGTCTGAGGTGGCTGGCCTTTGCTGGTCTGGGGTACAAAAGAAATGGCATCTCATAACATTGGCGTTGTGCATGCGAGACGAAAGGAGGAGGAGAAAGAGGAAGGGAAAGAAAAACAGAGAGACAGAGAGAGACAGAGAGAGACAGAGAAAGAGAGAGAGAGACAGAGAGAGGGGGGGAGGAGAGCGAGAGAGAGAGAGAAGGATCCCAGACCTCCAACAATCTGAGTTGTTCGAACAAGGGGGCCCAAGAGCGAACACGATGAGGAACAACATCAGACATGGTACGTAGCCCTTGCCAGCTGCGAGCAACCTGCGGACCAGATATTTTGAGAGCACTGCAGGAGGAATACGAAGCGAACATTTTCCCTGCAGTCGGTACAACTAAAGCGATCGTCGGCACAACTAAAGCAATGTCAAAGCGACGTCAGACCGTCCCTCAGAACTTCATCCGTTCGGGGCCACTGACTGGAGGGAGGTAGGGTCTGCAGCCCAGGCGAGCAAAGGGGACGGGGGCTGCCGCAGCTTGCTGCGTGCCTCCCAGCAGCATCAGGCGGGCTGCAGCGGTGAGGTCCGCTGGGCCTAGCTTTACGAGGGGAACCTCCCTGGCGCGCTCCAGAGGCGGCGCCGGAGGCGCCGCCAGGGGGCCCCAGCGCCGATCCGAGAAAGCCGCGCGGACCTCCGTTTTTGTATGGTTATGTCATTGTTTCTCCCCATGTTGACACCGTGCCGCCCTCCTCCCGATCTGGGGTCTGGGGGGAGGGGCCGGGCCGCGCGTCTCGGGCGCCCGTGCCCACGCCCTTGGCCCCCCGCGGGGAGGGCGCCCGCACGCCCGGGGGTCACAGGTGGGTGTCCAGGCGAACCTGGGCCGCGGCAGCGACGAGCGCGCGGGCACCTGCCAAACCACACCAGTCCAACCCGAAGGCCAAAATTTCGGGTTGGGGGGGGGGGGGGATCGGGTTCCATATGATGTGTGTCCTCAAGGTTCCACGACCCCCGCCCACTGGGAATGGAGGCTCCTCCTCCTCCTCCTCCTCCTGGCAAATTTGGGCCTTCGGGTTGGGTTGGGGTAGTTTGCTGGGTGGTGACACTCGCACTCCGCACTCGCGAGCACGGCTGCCCATTGCCGCGCTGCCTCTCCATGTGGCCGAATCATCCGTGCTACTCCCTCGATGCTGCTGCCCGCTGTTGGCGGCGGAGGCCCTTGTCAGAGCAGCTGGCCCCTCTCGGAAGTATGACGCTGTTTCTCCTGCTCCCCACTCTGCCCCTTCAACTGGCATCCCGATGCCCTCTCCCCATTGATAAGACGGAGCCAGGACGAGGAGAACATCGGGTGAGGATAAATCGAGAATCTCTGAGATCCAGCGGCTCTAGAGGATGTCTCGGGCGCCGCGGCCTTCTCGGAGCGTTCTGGAACGCTCTGAGAGCGTTCCAGAACGCTCTCTAGCCTCTAGCCCCGTCCGACTTGACCCACCCACTACAGGCACGCCACTCCGCTCCCCTTGCCGGGAACCATCATGTTGCGACCCTGGAACTCCGTCTCGTGCAAATTTTCGATGGCGCTCTGAGCCTCAGCCTCGCAGCTGCCGTGGAGCAGGCTGGAAAAATAGAGCTTACAAGCAGCAGCGGCGGCGGCAAGGGCAGCTCTGCAGAAACAACAGTACAACCGCCACCACCATCGCCAAAAACCGCCGCCCGACACCCCCCGCTCTCTGCCACCGCCACCACCACTGCCACAACTATCACAACTACCACCACAACAGCCACCCTCTGTCCCCCGCTCCCAGCGCACCACCACCACACCCGCCACATCCACACCCACTGTCACCCGTACTCAGCCAGCGCTCCCGCCCACCACAACTGCCACGACCGCTGCACAGCCACCACCGCCAGGTTGCGAAGAAGAGCGGAGACACAGAAAGTGCCCCGAGTGTGCCGACCAACTGGACACGGCCAGGGACAAACATTGCCGCAAACGAGTGTTTCGTTGCGGGGAGCTGGCCCTGGCCTCTCGCTGCCTGAAACGCAGCCCGCACGTTCTCTCGGCGGCACCCCGAGCAGGTCTGCACGATCTGAGCGGCTCTGTCTTCGCCTTCGCTCTGCTTTTTCCGGGGCCGTGAATCAACGACTCGGGACGAAAAACCGGCCCTAGGGCAGGGGTCCGGACCCCTGGGTGCCCGAAGAAGGAAAATCCCACCAACCCTCTGGGCGTCGGTGGTTTAACGCGTTTCCTCTTCCACCCCTCCCTCTTCCCCTTCGGGGAGGGGTTTACCCCTCCCCCTACCCCCTCCCCACTGACCTGGACAGGAGGGGCGGGGAGCGGTCAGAGCGTCCAAAACGGCCTCGGCGAGGAAGCCAAAAACATTGATTTCACTATGGTTTTGGCCCCATTTTGGCCTTCACAGGGGGCAACGCTAATTAAGGCTCCCCTCTTCTTTGATCGATTTCCTCCACGATGGCCGCAAGAGGCCCCCAGGATGCCCCAAGAGGCCGCAGGATGGCCCCAAGATGGCCCCAAGCGGCCCCCCAAGAGGCCCCCAGGAGGCCCCCAAGAGACCCCCAAGAGGCCCCAAGATGGCCCCAAGAGGCCCCAAGAGGCCCCAAGGAGGCCCCAAAGAGGATCCCGAACGGCCCACAGAGGCCCCCCCGAGGCACCCAAGACGCCGAAAAGCCCCTCAGGACGACCCTCTACTCGCCTGGGCGTCGTTTCTGGACGGGCTGGTGGGGATACGCGAAGCGTCTAGAATTGGATGTCTGGCTTCCAGAGATGCGCCTTCACCCTCAATTCGAAAAGTCATCCAGCCGCGGCGACGACGACGACGGCCACGCCAACGACGTCGAGGACGACGACGACGACGCCGAGCACGACGACGACGACCACGACGACGGAGACAACGACGACGACGACGACGACGACGACGACGACGACGACGACGACGACGACGACGACGACGACGACGACGACGACGGCGGCGGCGGCGGCGGCGGCGACGACGACATCAACCACGACGACGACGACGACGACGACGACGACGACGACGACGACGACGACGACGACGACGACAACGTTGACGTCGACGTGAACGACGACGACGGCAACGGCGACGACGGCGGGAACGACGACGACGACGACGTCGACGACGAAGGCGACCACGACGACGTCGACGACGGCGACGACGGCGACGACGGCAACGATGGCGACGACGACGACGTCGACTTCGACGACGACGAAGGCGGGATCGAGTTCGGAAGCGAAAGCGAAACGAAGCCGATACGAAAGCGATAACAAAAGCGATAACGAGAACGGAAGCTAGAGCGAAACGAGAATCCCGGCAAAGCAACCTAACAGCGATGTGTAGGAGCATATCTGGAAGCATTCCCCTTAAGATTCAGATGAGAATCCAGTTGTAGAATTCTGCTGTTCTCGCAGTCGTAGTCGCATTCGCGATGACAGTCGCAGTGGCAACGGCAGTCGCAGTCACAGCCTCAGCCTCAGCCTGCCTCAGCCTCAGCCTCAGCCTGCCTCAGCCTCAGCCTGCCTCAGCCTCAGCCTCAGCCTGCTTCAGCCTCAGCATCAGTCTGCCTTCAGCCTCGGCCTCAGCTTCAGTCTGCCGTCGGCCTCAGCCTCAGCCTCAGCCTCAGCTTGCCTCAGCATCAGCCTGCCTCAGCCTCAGCCTCAGCCTGCCTCTGCCTGAGCCTCAGCCTGCTTCAGCCTCAGCTTCAGTCTGCCGTCGGCCTCGGCCTCAGCCTCAGCCTGCCTCAGCATCAGTCTGCCTTCAGCCTCAGCCTCAGCCTCAGCCTGCCTCAGCCTCAGCCTCAGCCTCAGCCTCAGCCTCAGCCTGCCTCAGCCTCAGCCTCAGCCTGCTCCGGGCATTCAAAATGTGGCCCGGGAATGAGTTCTGGGAACTTCAAGACCACGAAGTGGCCTACAGTTGGCTCCGGGCATTCAGAATGTGGCCCGGGAATGGAGTTCTGGGAAGTCGAAGAGCACGAAGTGGCCTACAGTTGGCTCCGGGCATTCAAAATGTGGCCCGGGAATGGAGTTCTGGGAAGTCGAAGAGCACGAAGTGGCCTACAGTTGGCTCCGGGCATTCAGAATGTGGCCCGGGAATGGAGTTCTGGGAGGTCGAAGAGCACGAAGTGTGTGACTGTATGCGAAAAACGATCCCCCCCGGCAAACCCCAACGGCCCCCCAACGCTCCCCAACGGCTGCCCAGACCCCCCTGTGGAGTAATGTGCTGCTCTCTTTTTAGCCCATTAGAAACCTATCAGTCTACGCTGTTAGGTAAAAACGAAAAGAAGGCGAGAACGAAGGCGAGAACGAGGGCAGAAACGAAAGCAAAACGAAGGCGAAGCGAAGGCGAGAACGAAGGCAAGAACGAGAGCGGGAACGAAAACAAAACGAAGGCGAGAGCGAAAGGAAACGAAGGCGAGAACCAAGGAGGGAACCAGGGAACGAGAGCGGAAACGAGGGCGAAACGCAAACGAAAGGAAAACGAAAACGAAGACGGGAACGAGGACGGAAACTGAGCGAAATGAGGGCGAAACGACGGCGAGCAAAAATTGCGGAAACGAGGGCGAAACGAAGGCGAAAACAAAAGCAAGAACAAGCGCGGAAACGAGAACAAAAGATTATCCCGGCAAAGCAACCTAACAGCGATGTGTAGGAGCATATCTGGAAGCATCCCCCTTAAGATTCAGATGAGAATCCAGTTGTAGAGTTCTGCTGTTCTCGCAGTCGTAGTCGCATTCGCGATGACAGTCGCAGTGGCCTGCATTAGCCTCAGCCTCAGCCTCAGCCTGCCTCAGCATCAGCCTCAGCCTCAGCCTCAGCCTCAGCCTGCCTCAGCCTCAGCCTGCCTGCCTCAGCCTCAGCCTCAGCCTCAGCCTCAGCCTCAGCCTGCCTCAGCCTCAGCCCTCAGCCTCAGCCTCAGCCTCAGCCTGCCTCAGCCTCAGCCTGCCTCAGCCTCAGCCTCAGCCTGCCTCAGCCTCAGCCTCAGCCTGCTTCAGCCTCAGCCTCAGTCTGCCTTCAGCCTCGGCCTCAGCCTCAGCCTGCCTCAGCCTCAGCCTGCATCAGCCTCAGCCTCAGCCTCAGCCTGCCTCAGCATCAGCCTGCCTCAGCCTCAGCCTCAGCCTGCCTCAGCCTCAGCCTCAGCCTGCTTCAGCCTCAGCCTCAGTCTGCCTTCAGCCTCAGCCTCAGCCTGCCTCAGCCTCAGCCTGCATCAGCCTCAGCCTCAGCCTCAGCCTGCCTCAGCATCAGCCTGCCTCAGCCTCAGCCTCAGCCTGCCTCAGCCTCAGCCTCAGCCTGCTTCAGCCTCAGCCTCAGTCTGCCTTCAGCCTCGGCCTCAGCCTCAGCCTGCCTCAGCCTCAGCCTGCATCAGCCTCAGCCTCAGCCTCAGCCTGCCTCAGCATCAGCCTGCCTCAGCCTCAGCCTCAGCCAGCCTCAGCCTCAGCCTCAGCCTGCTTCAGCCTCAGCCTCAGTCTGCCTTCAGCCTCGGCCTCAGCCTCGGCCTGCCTCAGCCTCAGCCTGCATCAGCCTCAGCCTCAGCCTCAGCCTGCCTCAGCCTCAGCCTCAGCCTGCCTCAGCCTCAGCCTCAGCCTGCTTCAGCCTCAGCATCAGTCTGCCTTCAGCCTCGGCCTCGGCCTCGGCCTCAGTCTCAGCCTCAGCCTCAGCCTGCTCAGCCTCAGCCTCAGCCTCAGCCTGGCTCAGCATCAGCCTGCCTCAGCCTCAGCCTCAGCCTGCCTCAGCCTCAGCCTCAGCCTGCTTCAGCCTCAGCCTCAGTCTGCCTTCAGCCTCGGCCTCAGCCTCAGGCTGCCTCAGCCTCAGCCTGCATCAGCCTCAGCCTCAGCCTCAGCCTGCCTCAGCATCAGCCTGCCTCAGCCTCAGCCTCAGCCTCAGCCTGCTCAGCCTCAGCCTCATCTGCCTTCAGCCTCGGCCTCAGTCTCAGCCTGCCTCTGCCTCAGCCTGCATCAGCCTCAGCCTCAGCCTCAGCCTGCCTCAGCCTCAGCCTCAGCCTCAGCCTGCCTCAGCCTCAGCCTCAGCCTGCTTCAGCCTCAGCCTCAGTCTGCCTTCAGCCTCGGCCTCGGCCTCAGCCTGCCTCAGCCTCAGCCTGCATCAGCCTCAGCCTCAGCCTGCCTCAGCATCAGCCTGCCTCAGCCTCAGCCTCAGCCTGCCTCAGCCTCAGCCTCAGCCTCGGCCTGCTTCAGCCTCAGCCTCAATCTGCCTTCAGCCTCGGCTTCAGTCTCAGCCTGCCTCAGCCTCAGCCTGCATCAGCCTCAGCCTCAGCCTCAGCCTGCCTCAGCCTCAGCCTGCATCAGCCTCAGCCTGCTTCAGCCTCAGCCTCAGCCTGCATCAGCCTCAGCCTGAGTCTGCCTTCAGCTTCGGCCTCAGCCTCAGCCTGCCTCAGCCTGCCTCAGCCTCAGCATCAGCCTGCCTCAGCATTCAAAATGTGGCCAGGGAATGGAATTCTGGGAACTCGAAGAACACGAAGTGGCCTACAGTTTGCTCCGGGCATTCAAAATCATACCCAGGAATGGAGTTCTGGGAAGTCGAAGAGCACGAAGTGGCCTACAGTT